AGAGTGGCCGTGGAAAGAAAGAAACCACGGCTACAGTGCCCATCCCAAAATCACCGTGAGCACAAGTGCTGCTCGCTTCCACTGGGAGCTGTTCTGTGAAACTGGAGATGTACTAAAGCCATTGCCAGGCCTTGGACTACCCTGTCATCAGAGGGGGGACTTGAGTGGGAAAGCTGCCGGTCCAGTTCCAGGCGGAGTGGGCACCGAGGAAGCGAGGCCAGAGTCTTTTGGACAGCTGATAGCAATGGTCACTTTGGCCTAAGAACATCAGAGAGAAGCCAATGTTGGATTGGGCCAATGGCCCTCCAGTCCAACTAGAAGCCCTCCCATGTTGCCCCCCCCCAAAAAAAGGACCAAGAATACAGAGCATCCCTTGCTCCAGACTGAGAGTTCCTATCTATACCTTGTGGCTAATAGTCACTGATGGACTTCGGCTCCATAAGAGAAGCCGATGTTGGATCAGGCCAATGGCCCCTCCAGTCCAACACTCTGTGCCACACAGTGGCCAAAAATACCAGGTGCCATCAAGGGGTCTGGCAGTGGGGCCAGAACTCCAGGAGCCCTCCCACTGTTGACTCCCCTCAGGCACCAAGAATACAGAGCATACCTTGCCCCAGACTGAGAGTTCTGATAAGAACATCAGAGAAGCCAATGTTGGATCAGGCCAATGGCCCATCCAATCCAACGCTCTGTCACACAGTGGCCAAAAATACCAGGGGCCCTCAGGAGGTCCGCCAGTGGGGCCAGGACACTAGAAGCCCTCCCACTGTTGCCCACCCACCCCCCAAGTACCAAGAATACAGAGCATCACTTGCCCCAGACTGAGAGTTCCTATCTGTCCCTTGTGGCTGATAGCCACTGATGGACCTCTGCTCCAGATGTTTATCCAGTTCCCTCTTGAAGCCGTCCATGCTTGTAGCCGCCACCACCTCCTGTGGCAGTGAATAGGAGACATAAGGATTGCGTCCTTTTCTGAAATACTTCTCTTGCAGTGCCCAGGTGTTCTTCAGGTGTATTGAAAACACCACCACGCTGACCCCTCCAAATAATCTGAGGAGTGGAGAGCAATTTGGAAGTCAGGCTTCCATGCGGATTTCCTCCTTCAGTGGATTGATATGGCTTAGTTCCCCTCCCCTTCTTCTTCCACTTACACACACACACACACTGTGTGCGTGTGCCAATTTTCCCTTTAATTTTACACTTTTGGTAGCTGTGGACAATCTCCTTTTACAGTAGGAGAAAGCTAGTCCCTCATTTTCTGCGTACCCAAGGAGTCTCTTCGTTGTGTTTGGCCTGTAGGGGGCGGGGAATGGGTCCCTTCGTCATTGATAACAAGTGATAATAATTATATTTTAAAAATTATTATCACCACTAGAAAGTTTTTAATACAGTTGGGTTTTCTCCCAAATTGCTCTTGAGATGGGAAGATTTTATAGGCCTGCCTACTCCCAAGGCATTCCCAGATTCTCACGACAGCGATATCTGATGTAACCTGTCAGCACTCGCAAGAATCTTTTCCGTGTTCATGACTGTAGTCATAATAACAGCTCGGCGATGAATCTCATAAACACGAGCGGTAAGGACAGGTCTGGTCTTGAGGCATTTCACCGAAGTCTGTGGAACGCATTTGTTAGAGTCCGTCTTGCACCCCAGGACATGCGGTCCTCGCCCCAGTTTCTGCTTTGTCCTGCGACGGCGTCAAGTGTATTTTTCATCATCTGCAGGGTCAAACGTCTGTCTTATCCCTTCCCTCCTTTTTCAGAACATTGAGTCACGGCTGAAAGTGTCCTTGCCCAGTGATCTCGGAGCAGCGCTGACCGATGGGGTGGTGCTCTGTCATTTAGCCAATCACGTGCGGCCCCGCTCCGTTCCCAGTATTCACGTCCCCTCGCCAGCTGTTGTAAGTATCCATGGGTGGCTTTTGGGGGCTTGGGAGGATCTCCAGCTATTAATGTGTCCCACACTCGCTGTTCCCTCTAGAAGGCCCTCAGAGTGGCTTACAAAACGACAAGCTTGAAATAGAAGGGGCTAAAAAATTACAAAAACTGTCAGTACAAACGACAGCAGGCAATGGCAGAACGAGAAAACCTAACAACGCGCAACGAGGGCTGCCAGATCTCACTGCCCACCAGTGTTCCCTCTAAGCTGAGTTAGAGTGAGCTAGCTCACCGTTTTTTAGCCTCCGGCTCACACATTTTTGCCTTAGCTCAGAAAGATATGGCTCCAGAGCCAACTAATTTATGCGGGAGCCAAATCACTCGCTCACAACTTTAATGCCAGGAGCTCACAAAGTAGAATTTTTGCTCACAAGACTCCATGGTTTGGAGGGAACATTGCTGCCCACCACCACTTGAAATGGCGGTGGGAGGTTTTTTGTTTTGTAACGTAGCCTTGTGTACTCACCGGGATTTCTTAGCGGAAGTGATGAAGGGTGGCTCTAGGAATCACTGAAAACTATATGGTAAAACCAGCAATCCCCAGAGCTACCATTCATATAACTTCCACTAAGTACATGCGGGCAGTGTTCCCTCTAAGCTGAGTTACTGTGAGCTAGCTCACAGTTTTTTAGCCTCCGGCTCACACATTTTTGTCTTTGCTCAGGAAGGATGGCTCAAGAACAAACTAAATTATGCAGTAGCCAAATCACCTGCTCACAACTTTAGTGCCAGTAGCTCACAAAGTAGAATTTTTGCTCACAAGACTCCACAGCTTAGAGGGAACATTGCATGCGGGTGCATTTTTTTAAAAGACAAATTCCTGCAATGTCGTGCCCCGCCAAGCTTTCCACCACTTGCCAGCCATTGTGTTGTGGGACTTCACGAAGGGCCGTACACTGGAAAACATGGTGCCACCGCAAAGAAGGACCTGGTCTTCAAGGCGGCCCACTGAACTTCTGAGCTGAAGCAGGATTCCCCCCCCCCCAACAAAGATAGAATGATGTCAGTATATAGAGAGGTTCGTTTGAGAAAAAGCGATCTCTCAAGTTCCCTGTCTCCAGGCCTCTGGGCCTTGAGTACAGCCAGGAAACTCATGGGGCTATTAACTAACCTCGATCAGAACTGGTGTGCATTCCCCTCCCCCAAGTCCCAGTTGGCTAGGGGAGACCCTGTTGGAGTTTTTCCCTTCCCCATGCTGAGCATACCTTGATCCGCTTGCCCCCACTCTTTTTTCTCTTTCCACCCCTTGATTCATTGGCTGCCCGGATGGCTTTGCAGAGCACCAGCGTCTGTGAGTGGCACATTGGAGCCCAGGCTGTATAGATTAATCCGGTGTCCCACTTTGTGGGCAGAAACTGGGCAAAATGGATGTGAGTTCTGGCTCTCTCATATAGACAGTCTGGAGAGTCTCTGTGATCTTTCCTCAAGCTTGGGTAAGGGGCGTTATTTAGGCTACTGTATTAAAGTAGTCATATTTTTGTTACTGATCTTTGGTATTTTCGTATATCCTGGCTCTAACCCATAGCTTGTTCACAATTTGTCTTTTGTAATTTTGTTAACGGCCAGTGGCTAATTACAATAAACTAAACGGAAACAGTTCTGTTGCCGCCTTGAGATATTCTGGGTCTAAGAAACCTGGGCTCCTTCTTTCTTCTTTTCCACAGCCTAAATTAACAATGGCAAAGTGTAGGCGGAACGTGGAAAATTTCCTGGAAGCTTGCCGAAAGATTGGTGTGCCTCAGGTAAGGGGGGGGGGAGTTTTGGGTCTTAACCGTATTTTGAACGATGATCAAAATGTTTGCTAACCTCCCAAAAGTCCAACCGTTAGTAGAAACAGACCAATGTAGGCTGTGTTTGCTGTACGGAGTATCACACTGGAATTTGGTGCCTAGAAAAGGGGGCTTGCCCCGTCTCCCGTTCTCACAGGTACACAGTGGTCTGTCGTCCAGAATGTTTGCATTAAAAAAAAATGGGCACGAAGGAAGAAACAAAACGGGAAATGAAATCGTACCCTTCCTGTTCTGTTTCAGAGAGAATTGCCTACTCCTCTCCACGATATTTGCTTGTTGTGTTAAAACTCAGCTTTGGTTTTGCCGGGTAACTTCTGTCCAGTAGAAGCCCACCAGTTGATGCTATCTAGGATAAAGTAGGCTTCAGCGGATAGCAGCTTCTAAGCACCCAAAGCCCATTACTAATCGGGCGTTGCAAAGTGGTTGAGGCCCACTTCTAATTCAGGGCTCTTTTTGTAGCAGGAACTCCTTTGCGTATTAGGCGACACACCCCTAATGTAGCCAATCCTCCAAGAGCTTACAGAGCTCTTCTTACAGGGGCTACTCTAAGCTCTTGGAGGACTGACTACATTAGGGGTGTGCCGCCTAATACGCAAAGGAGTTCCTGCTACAAAAAGAGTCCTGTCTAACATTATGATATTTACTCATGGGAAAGGAATGTCCGTGATGAAAATCCTAATGCGTGGATGGTCGGTCTCCATATC